GCAAATACATCTCAATGTCTTTCCTCCAGCTTTCAGACCTGTCAGCAACCGCACTTTGCTGATGAAAGGCTTAAAAGGTTTGAATGTTGGTCCTGTTTCGGGCAAAGCCCCTCAAAAAAAGGCTGCATTTGCATCGGGAAATTAATGAAAAGAAGCCGAGCGACGAGTCAACAAAGGACCTACAAGGGTTAACGCCACCTGGGCCCAAATGAAAACAGGACGGATTTGGGCACGTGTTCGTGAGTTGTGGCTACCGTAAACATGCAGCCGAAATCCCTAATTTAGAATACGGCAGGTAAATATTAGCTTTGGGCCTTCATGTCAGCAATCCGGGTCGAAAAAATGGAGGCAGAGTTTCGGATTCGAAGGCTTTAAGCTTTTACCTAAGCTAAATGCTTAATCACGGTATATTCAGCAGTAGGATTATTAAATTTGAATTGATTATTAATCAAGTGTCGGTAGAAACGTTTAATAAATAAATTCTCTTTAATTCTCTTTAACATTGTAGTGATTATTAGAGCTTAAGCAATATTTATAATATCTAATATTATTTCCACTTATATTGTATTCAAAAGCAACAGGCTCCTATCCTTACGCATCTCGATAAGAGAAGGCTATAACCATGAATTAGCCATAAATTAATTCGAGCAGCAACACTGCACGGCCCATGTCCAAATGGCAACAGTCGATATGGCAAATATGGACACCCGGGACGAATTAAAATAGGAAATTACCATTTATATTGCATTATGTCCACACCAGAAGCCAAGCGTCCAAACGGATAGCAAATTTTGTTGATTGCCCCAGAGTCCGACGATGGTATTGACCAATTTTCCACACGTCCGCCTATTAATTTAGTCAAATGTTCGCCAATTAGACAAACGAGTGAGATTGGATATGCTGTTAATCACCCAAAATCTCGTCAAGCAAATCATATGGGTATTGTCGTGTGCTCACTGAGCTTTGGCATTTATTAGCCAGCACAACAGGCAGTCATAAATAATTCAAAAGTAATCCCAGACACGCATTTTTTATGGAGTTAATAAATATAACCATTAAAAGCACCAAAAATATGCGTACGTGTCTGCGGAAAATCCCTTTCCGAGGGCGACAAAATACTCAACGGAGTCTCTGCATTAGCCGAGTTTAAAACTCAACAATAAAAAGAAACCAATATCCGCAGAGGGCATCAGAATGCTTTGGTTTTGATTTATGGCCTTGGAGTCTGATGGCGCAATTTGCTGACTCTGCTTAAATGTGTTATCCTAAAAGCATGAATTTCGTTTCGCCAACAAGATAAAAGCCACATGCTTCTCGCAAAATCTTAAAAGGTTTTTGTTCATAAATTAGATTAAATGTGGTGACAACCCCTTTTGCAACTTCCTTAATTTGCACACAATTTTAATTAGTTAATGGCTGTTTTTTAGGATTATAGGAGCTGGGCTTGCAGTCTTCAATTATATTTTTGTTTTTAAGGCAAAATCAATGTCATAGTAGAGTGGCAAGCTTATGCCAATCACTCAATCAGCCAGTTTGCCTAAGCCAAACAGTGCGCCTTTTTTGTTGGCCTCTCAATCAAAGTTTTTGTGGAACAAAATGTTCTTTGATGTGGCCGTCAGTGACAAAAACTTTCTCCCAACGCATCTACAAAATGTTTGTCATACCTTTGAACTTCTGACAGGTGACTGTCATTTGGACAGCTGAAAGGGTAAGATTGTTTGCAAAAAGTCGAATTTAATTTGAGGTACAATGTTCCAGTCTAATATCTAGGCCAGTCCTAATCAGTGAAGAACCATATGTTAGTATTTCAATCATGTACGATACTGTTCGCAACGTGGGGACAAATTTCGTTAAACTTTATTCGAAATCGATACAAGCAGCAGTGTTCTCATCTAATATTTTATTTATTTCAAACCTTTCACACAGTCTCGATACTGAAGGAGGCCTCCTTCAACTTTGACTTTCTCTGCCACAGCTCTCTTCGCCGTTTTATGGCTCCGTTTTTTATTGCCAGCCATTACTTGAATATTCCGGTAGCCTGGTTAGTGCCAGCTCCGATTTCACTTCGATTCCCTGACGAAGAAATCGATGAAGGAGCCAGCGAGTTGCCTGTTGTTTCAGCCAGACAAGGACATTTCTGGGCCAGGCTTTGGGCTTTGGGCTCTTGGCTCAGGGTTCAATGCTCGCCATTAACCGCTGCCAGTCTCAGGCGGCATGGCATTAATGTTTTTCAATTATTTTTATTGGCTTATCATAAATTATAACGCCCTCCTGGCCTAGGAGGCCATATTTTGCGAGCACTTACCGCCTTGACGTGTACTTTGCCAAGTGAGTTTGACTTGAAATGCCTCGTAAACTCGCCAAAATTCAGCAGACATTGACGCCAACATATGTTTGGCCAATTTCCCGAAATCAGGAGAAAACTTTCTGCGAAAGTGTGCAAAGTTTCAGTTTTGTGCGGCCCATTTATAATAATGGAACGTAGGACTTACTGTGATTTGGTTATGCAGAAACGCTTTGAAATAATTTACCCATTTAGTCACTGTGACAAATTGAAAAGTCTTTCCTTATCCATTACACTTTAATGCAATTAGTCGCAACATACCGCAACTTGGGTGAAAAAGTTTCGCTTCTTGTGCGCATTTAATTATCGCGCCAGAATCCCTTTGGATTCTTTTCAAGGACTTCTCCTGTTGCAAGTGCAATTTCCGTGCTAAATATTTGCACACAAAAGCAGGAAACTTTCTTCCAACTTTTCTGCTCCCTTTGCTGTTTTTTTACAGGCGCAAGTTTTTCCTTTCCTGTAAGCGAAACATTTTTAAAGTAACTACTAAGCCGGAACGCCTTACTCCTTTCATTAAACCTTTGACTGGTCAGTTTCTGAGACCTTACTGGCCGCTTTTAATTTTTTTTTTACCAAGTTTACAACTTCTCAGGCTTTGTTGCATTCTTCGAGGGCTTCGAGCACTTTTGCAAATAAGCCATGCAAACAATGCAAAAAAGAACAAGCTATTGGAAGAAAAAGTTTAACAACTATAGGAGAAATAGTTTTGCTGCTGAGTTTTTCTATACAAATATTCATAATTCGTTGTATGGGGCTCTCAATAAGTTTCGGATATACATATACTAGTAATTGCTTAAGTAGCATACAATATCCCTCCTAATAAAAGACAAAACGGAAACATAGTGTTACCCGCAATTTAGCTGATTTTATTTTATTTAAACATCTTGCCTGCCCTTCAAAAGAAATCGTCGATGGTCAACGCAGCATGTGTAGAAAAAATGATTCCCTACATAGAAAAAATTGCAATGTAAAATAGCTGGCCCTGATTGCACAGTTCATGGAGCATGGCATTATATGAGCCATTCACTCGGCGTCGCCTTCTCACGTCATGAGATTCCTAATTAGATCAGCTGTGGAAGATAGGGCAGAAACTCAGTGAGCTGCTTTGCATGCAATGAAAAGATACAGACGTTTACCCCTCCGCTTTTAAGTGCAACATTTCCAGTCTTATCTTTAAGTTACTCCACTTGAGTGACATCCGTTTTACCAGCTTTTTACAGCAGCAACAGAGAAAAAGCAGGTATGAAACGTGGGCTAGAAGAAGGTTTAAGAAAGACTTGAAAAGCTCCGTGTGAAATGCAATGCCTTTAAATTGACTTTATTTTTTGTTTTTTACTAATTCTCCAATAATTTACCAATTCACCTGCTCTTTTTCATTGGGTTCCGTTTCATTATTTTGGTATTTTCGAAAACAATTAGCTCGAAAATTGCAGGCACCAAGCGCGTAATTGGATTGTTTTGTGGCTGACAGCGTGTATTGCGAATTCGAGCTCCAAAATGTCGCATTGTTGACCTATGACCACAGGCACGGGCAACGCCGTAATTTGAATAGGTGGGCGAATGGCATCAACAGACATCCCGGTCCGCACCCGCAGAAATATTTCACCGCAAATACGCCAAATCTTGCCCACACCTGCTCTCTACAATTCCGGTCTGTTAAGGTTGGCTTAAATATTTAAGCAATGCCAATCAGTCGAAAGAAGGTAAAGTTGAAGCTGAAGGCAAAGTTTTTGCTTTTGAATATTTCTTATATAAAGTATGCATTTATCAAATAATTCCGTTAAAAGGGCCAGCTATTTTACATTAAAAGTTCTGCTGGCAATTGTAAATCTCCAATGATAGAATACCACGAGCCTGTAATGACAAGCATTAGCTCCCGCCTACGATTTAAATATTTAATTAAGCTTATTCCACATACGCCACGTGGCCATGGCGCGCACATACAAATGCGTACGAGCATGTGACCAGACAAAGTGGGTTAACTTTATGGCCGGGTTAAGGAACCTCTAAAACGCAACGGTTGCTAGGCGGGAGCTTTGTCTATGCTTCTATTTTCCCAAGGGGGGAGGTCAGCAATTACCCGGCCAGCGGTCATTAAAAACAATCCTCAGCGGAGCACGCAAAGCCATTGGTATTAGCCTCTTGCTGGGTCTCGTTTCCCATGTGAACTAAAATATGCCTCTGCGTGACATTGCTTGTTTCGGTAACAGAAGAAGCTACATTTCGGGTTAGCCTTAGCTAGCGGATATTCAAGTATTCGATATTATGATTTAAGGTGGAATTTTGCAAGCATTGCCTTACGCCGTCCGTTAGACAACGCAAAGCTAAAAACGTTAAGCACGCCATCTCTTACGTTTTCAGCAGTAGCGCCACTGTTCTCTACATGTAAAAAACGTCTAGTCTCGAGTAAAATTGAATATGGTTATGTCGAGCTAGTCAATATTTACATACAAATAAAATTGTATAAAAAAAGAAAATAACGTCATGACTGTATTAATATAACAACTTGCAAAATAGTCCTGTCAATTTCGTTTCCGCCAAAAAGCTTCAAATCCCAGGGTACAGAAGTTGGTTGATATGAAAGGCTTTCAAAAGCTTTTTAGTCTGGCGCAAAATTTAAAATACCGAAATACACAACAGTCACAAATGGTCAACCAAATTAAATTTATTTTAAAGAAGAATCTTATTTTTTAACTTCTTCGCTTAATTAATTGTTTAAAAGATAACCCATTGAGACAATAAGGAACGCCTTAGCTGCATTATAAGCTATCACATGAGAACTTAACCTAATGGCTTGTGCGACAACTAAATAATAAATAACAATCTTAATGGTACACTTATGAGCTCAAGGGAGTGATGGGCATGCGCCAAGCATCCTTGATCATATCCGCCGCCTTTTCGGCGACCATGATCACAATGGCATTGGTGTGACCAGCTGGTACATTGGGTAGCACAGAAGCATCCACAACCCGCAATCCACCGATGCCGTGGAGCCGCAGTTGGGCATCCACCACTGAAGTATTATCCGTTGCAGGACCCATTTTGCAGGTGCCAGATTGATGCTGCAAGCTGGAACCATATCTTCTTAAGCAGCACTTCCAGTACTCCTCGCTGGCGGGTTTCAGGTGTCCACAGCCCGGAAATGGGCGGTCATGGAAACGTGTACCCATCTTCACCATGGGCTTCGATCTAGAAAGCTTGAGAATCTGGAAGTGAGACAAAAATTAAATATGTTTCGGATTAAAGCTGATTAATTCTACCATTTCGATTCCCTCGATCATGGCCCTCACATCATCGGGATGCTGCATGAAATTGGGCTCCATTCGGGGCCAGTGGAAGGGATTGCGACTACGCAGCGATATTCTGCCCCGACTTTTGGGACGCAGGAGCACTGGCACCAGGCCGAAGGTCTCCTTGTTCTGCAGATCTGCAAACATGTAGTCGTAGAACTCGTCGGTGATGCCCAGCAAATTTCGCATGGTGCCAAGTCTATCTCCACTCAAGGATCCGGCTCCTAGGACAAGTTCCATATCCGGATAGTCCTTCGCTTTTGGGTTAAATATATGGAAATTAAAAAAAATTCAAGCAAATGTTTACATTATGGTCATGCTTAATACTTACCAAATTTGGAACTGGGAGTCCGCACAAAAGCGAAAGCCTCAGCTCCACCTGGAATGGTATATGGTCCCTGTCCTGCAAAGATGTACCTGAATATGTCCGTGGGATTCAGCAGTCGAGCATCGTTAACCGTCGAATCATTGACCACAAACACAAGACCATTGAGTGTTATGTGATCCTGTAAGTTGTAACCCACTGGCAGATCCTGCATTACTGTTATATTGTGCTCCCTAAGATGCTCCGCTGGACCGATTCCCGATAACATAAGGACCTGGGGACTGGCAATGGTGCCAGCCGAGAGGATCACCTCTTTTCTGGCCCGCACAATGTAACGCTGGCGTTGCTTCACGAACTCCACTCCAGTGGCGGTTTTAGTGATCGGATCGATAATCAGTCGCGTGACCCAACTTTTCATGGAGATATGGAGGTTCTTTCGATGCACAACTGGCTGTATAAAAGCCTTGCTCGTACTGCACCGCCTGCCATTCCGGATGGTGGCCTGCGACCTTGCAAATCCCATGAGGTGCTCTCCATTTGGATCCGTAATTTCGTAACCCATTTCCCTGCCCGATTTCAGAAAAGCTTTCAGCAGTTGTGACCTATAGTCCGTGTACTGCACATCCAACTGGCCATTGCGTCCATGATAGGGGGATTTGTACAGCTCCGGGATCCCAATCCTCTCCGATTTTCGAAAGTAGGGCAGCAATTCGTCGTAGGACCAACCGGAGTTGTTGGCCGCCGCCCACTCATCATAGTCCCTCCGATGACCACGTGTATATAACATAAAGTTGATCAGACTGGTGCCACCCACGCCACGCCCCTTGGGCCAGTTGCAAACGCCTCCTTTTAATCCTTGACAGGCGTGCTCCGTGGGCTCCGCCTTGTAGCCCCAATTGTATCGAGTCATTTGGGTGAGAGCCGCTGTCAGCGGGACGTCGCTGATGAAGGTCTCCTGATCACCGGCCTCCAGGAGCAGAACGCTCGCCGAGGATATCTCGCTCAGCCGATTGGCCATCACGCATCCAGCACTTCCTGCTCCCACGATGATGAAGTCATATTCCGGCAGGAATCGATTGGTGTCCGGGATCCTATTGTTCAGCAAGGAGGTCTCAAAATCACGAGCCAAATCCACAAGTAGTTGGGACCTGCTGACTTGTAAAGACCACAGGCAGAAAACCAGCACTTCACAGACTCTCATCTTGGCTTAATCTGCAAGGTTGGATATGGCGTTAAAAATGAAAAATAAAAACATTTTTTACGATTGCATGTGGGTAATCTATATTATTCTTCAGTGAAACGAATTATGGTGACAGTCTTGTTAAAAATCAACGCATTTTCTTGTCTGTTGTTAAAGTGTCAAAAGCGCAGTTTTTAAAAACTTTTTGCATGGCTGCGAAATGAATTATTTTACAACATAGTTTATGACTTTTTTAATAAAAAGTAAAGCTGCCTACTAAAAACACTTCTACTAGCGTTCAGAAAAAAGAAAGTCAGAATATTCTGAGATAATTAGCATTCCCATGCGAGTGGCGGCGACCTTGAGAACGATTTCACTTTTTTCTTTTCATGTTCTGAGCCCTATTCATAACCGATGCACTCCGATTCATCCTGAACGTGTTTTGAGCTCAAGTTCAACAGGTTTTGGGGCTGCAAGACAACGAAATCAAAAGTGCCAATAAAAATAATGACTTGCCAAAAGGAGCGAAATTAAGTTAATGCTAGCCAACCGGTTCGTGGTCAAAACAAAACTAAAATGAAGAAGAAACCAAATCAAAGCACACATTGCAAATAAAATCAAAATAAATCGATCGCGAAGACGCTGCAAATATTTAAGCGTTGACCCATAAACCGCACGCGGATGTTCATAAAAAACAATGTTGCACAAAAAATCTTCAAAAAAAGCTTGAAATTAAATTACTTAAAGTTGTGGGCGCCAAATGTTTTTTTATGCAAATTAACTCAATTTGGGAATTTTCGAAGCGCTGACCGAAATGGCACAAATGCTAATAAATCATTTCAATTAACCTCAATAAAGCCGGCAAGTAGTTGAACAAGACGAAACAGTAGCCAAGTTGAAAACTGGTTCATCGATCGTTTAACATAAACCACAATAATGAGATTCCACGGCTTTGTCTTTGTTCAGTGAAGTTCTATATCTTGGCCATGGCCTTGGGGTCGGATTCACTCGATCGGTTACGACGATTAGAGGACTACTTAAAGCCGGTTTCACTTTAGACACACCTTCCGAAGGGCGTTGTATTCATTAAGGTTCTGGCTATCAACACCAAGCCAACCAATGTGGGTCATTAAGCCGAACTTAATTGGCTGAGACGAACAGGCTAAAGATCTTGATAACTGTTACATGAAATTTGTTAAATCTGATTTGGAAAATAATGATGGTTGTGAGTAATTTAGTTGACCAATAGGAGGGATTAGCACATTGTGGTTGGGTTGCCCATAACAATATCTCAAAACAAAATCACCAAGCTAATTAAGATGATATTGTAACACAAGACATTTTAAATTTAACTTCACTTAAGAAAGTTTGAGTAATGAAATGAAATTAATTAATTAATTAGATATTTGAGAAACTGAAACTAAAACTAAAACCAAAGGTGCGCCATATTTTGCACAGCACTGATGCATTTCATTAGCCAAAAACCGCAAACTACATTTTTGGTCGATCTAGCAACTTGACAAGTTCTCAGTAAAAACCACTGCTAAATGCTTATAGAGTTTACATCAGGAGACCAGATTTAAACACACACACACGCCACAGCACAGATTGTCACAGATTCTGTTATGAAATTCTAAACACGTTTGCCAACGCAAAATCCATGCAAATCGATTGGCGATAGAATGCACTTACGAAATGCTCTGTATATAGAAATGGGCCACTAAAATTCACAGATACTCCGGATCGATTCACCAATTCACTTGACGACTGCGCATGCGCGCCCGCTGATGTCCGGCGCCTAAATGAAACGTTGCTGGCCGGCCTGCAACGTTGAAGCCTATGCGAGATCAAAAAGTAAAAAAAAGTTTCAAAAATTCAGTTAACAACACAGGTAGCTGCCGGGCTAGTCGGTCAATGCGCTACGTTCGAGCGATCACGAAAGAAAGATACAAGATACATATGAGCGCGGGATTTACGATGGACCATTTGTTTTCAAGTTCATCGGGTGAACTTGCAAATTTTTTCGTCCATTTTAGGGCTATTTTTTGGGAATTTGCTGCATGTTGATTAGCACCACGCTGATCGCAGATGATGATCGCAAACCTAATCAAACTGGACAAGTCGATGATCAGCGATTTGTCGCCGACTTTTTAGCGCGGAGGTGCGAAAGATCAAGTAGGTGAATTGAAGTGCTTCCGCTGTTTACGGTTTTCGATCTTTGATTTAATATAGGAACCACAATAATGGCACGAGTCATTGGACTGCCCGTGGTGAAGTTCAATGTCAAGATTTGAATCGGTGATACGCTTTTCCGGCTGCGCTAACGACCTTACCAGATCGTCTTGGTTACATGGGTCTGCTGATCATTAAGATGGCATTCAGCGGATTACAAACGCTTGACCCAGACTCATTTGCATACAAACAACAGCCAAATCGTTTCCCTAATGGGCAACTGAACACATTTTTGGCTCTAGCTCGCCCGATTTCGCAGTTACTTTCACAATACATTTTTTTATCTTATTTTTGGCGATTTTGGTGAATCGTAAAATCAGTGACCTTGAGTACAATACTCGTACATGTGTTTCTTTTTATAGCTACAATCTCAGCACAACGGCTTGAATGCATTTTGCATTGCTTTATTTGGTATTTGCCCAGCTTTTATGCATATTCATTTGGCATGACTTGGCAAGTGTAAAATAGCCAGGCTCATTCACTTCTATGGAGTTCAAACACGTACTCCACAAAGCGCTCAACCACTCAATTGGTGACCTGATAATTGATTATGGATCAGAAAATAATGCGTCTTGCTAATTAAATTTTAACAGCTAAACAAAGGTATACATGGGTAATCGCTTAGCTGGAGTTTCCAAAAAATAATTGCTTAGGGCAGAAAGTGAGACCGCAAGTTTTTAGATTTTTATAAAAGATATTTTATAAATTGAAATCAAACTACCTGCCTGGACTGCTGCTTATGTGTTGCACTATTCTCAAAAGAACCTTCCCATAATTAACACAGAATATATGAAATGTTTGCTAACGAATTCACATTCTACATACTTGATTTGCAAATTAGCAAACTCAAATAGCTTTCAATGCCAACGTTTAGTGTAAAAATTGGCTCAAACAAACAAGTAACTCAAATGCATTATTCCCAGCTAAACTGATGCCAGTGCGAAAGTTATTTATAGGCCAGCTACTTCAAGTGACTCACTACTAATATTATAAAGTTTAATCACTTGGACAAACACTCCCCAAACGCACTTGAGAAACGACCTTGCCATGGCAACCAGCTCAGAAATCTGAGTTCATACAAAAACGCTGACGATTTAACACTCGGCAGCCAAAGACAACAAACGGTGGCTGCTCAGACGGATATCAAATAATACAAATTACCAAATACGAGTCCGAATCACGGCATCAAAATAAACCAAATCAACAGTTTCTGCCCCGCTTGCCGGGTGGGCAATGAAAACTCTTCAGTGTCAAGTGGGCCGGGTCGCCCAGCACTTGGGCCTCATAAATCACGTGTCTCAAACAGATGAAGACGTGACCGGAGTGCGTAAAAAACCCAATAAAACAATATAATGCCTGTAAACTAACAATAATAATAGCCCCGATGATGGAGCACCCACAATGCCATAAACGCAGCTCGATGATTGACCAACGTCAGCTGCGCTTTGGTAAAATTATGATTTCGCATCTGAGGGCTGAAATTGAGCCAAGTGCTTTGAGTGTCAAGAGTGCGGTTAAAAATAAAATTTAAATGCTGAGTGGAGACTTGGTCGACGTGCAGACAAGGGTGTACCACCATCATCAAAATCTAAACCCAAAATGACACTCAAAAGGTCTTAGCCAGGCTTAAGAGGACCGGCTTAATTGAATGAACTTGAAACAATTGCTGAATAATTTTTTGTCTACTGAGTGGATATGCATTACAACCAACAATTGATGGGGAGTTCCGAAATTCTTTGATTTATATTACTAACATGTTATCCCGAAAATGTATACAACTTTTATAAAGCGAAAAAATATATATATTTTGTGCCTTTTTAAGTTTTCAGTAATGCTAAAGCTTATGAGCCTAGTAGTAAATTTTGTTGTATCTAAGTACTTCTTAATCTTTTTCCGAAGGTTCAATAAACTTTCTTAATATAACCTCAGCCTTTTTCAACGGTTTTCAGAACATCCATGCCTTCGTGACCGACTCGATGACAGACTCCATGTCAAATCTGTGCAGCCGAGACGGTCTTTGAACGCTTTGATTGGGTGCTATTGACACGACCAAAGTACACACATAGCCATGACTTGTTTACTTTACGAATATGTCGGGCTTCGTGTGAGCCAAGAAACCCCAAAAAGAAATAAGATAAAATATGTTTAATTGGTCGCTAATTTTATTGATGAATTATTTTGTTGTGAGATGGATGATTTGTTCCTTTAAGTAGGTGGAATATGCCAGAGAGGTTTATTAAAAGTTTTAGAATTGGAAAGATTTGCTTTTAGTTGGTATTTTGGTTTTGCTTTGATTTGTGTTGCTTTGCAGCGTTTTGATAGTTTTGATATACTTAGGCATATTCATTGAAATATATCGGTAAGTTTAATAATACCGAAAATAATTTACGTATTTTTGTTCAAACCAATTGCTTTGCACATCAATTAATTCTTACTAGATCTATTTGTTGTAAAAAGCGAAAAGCGTCGTAGGATTCCATTGATTATGCTGGGGTTTTCTAGATATATGTATTAGATAGATTTATTATAAATTAATTCTTGAGTGTAGAAACTGTAAAACATAAATTTTTCTTACTGACTACAGATACACTTTTGGACTTTTTGGATTCGTATAAATATTATCTTTTTTGTAAATGTTAGCATAGCGATTTCTTTATTATTTGTATATTTAACTTGTTAAACTTTGATGAATATGTTTGTAAATTTAATCAGTACGAATTTCTCAAAACTAAGCCCACTAAAAATGGGATTTCTGGACGCGTAAAAAATAAATTGTGGTAAAATTTAAAAATACATTTAAAAAAGGAACTTATTCGATTATGTTAATAATAAATTAAAGTATAAGTATAATAATTTATATTCTTTTTGCAAGCCCCATATAAACGCCAAAATTGGTAACAAGGAATTTCGAAATTATAGGCAGAGAAGCATTTACAACTTAATACACGATTTTCATCTATTCGGATTTGACATACATTTTCCAGTAATTTACATGCTCAGCCCATAAGCTAGCAATATATTTTTCATGTTGCCCAGAATGTTGCAGCAACATTCCAAGCAACGCTAATAAATACGAAAAATCTGTAGGCGACGGATTACAAAATCCCTGAGCGCATATATAAAAAATCAAATACAATTCGCTATGGCTTAAAATAGGTTTTTAAATAAAATTCTTATCACGTCCAGAAATGGGGCTATATTGTTTTGATTTTTCCAGATCAATTTAGTGGCGCAGCAGCATGCTGCTGACCTTGGCATCGGCCTTTGGCGACATTTTATCCCGGAATTGGCGGTTTTCCGGATTGGCCAGCACCGAGGCAATGAACTCCGAGGTCTCCAGCTGCAGTTCGGCCAATCGCTTTTGCAGCAGCTGGTTGCGTTGCACCAGCTTAATAGTCTTGATGGCAATGGACAACAGGCCCTCGCTATTCCGGTGGTACAAGTGCTGCTCCTTCACGGGATCCTGGCTGTACTCGTACCCACTGTCGCCATCACGGTCATCCTCCACCTGGAGCGGCACCTCCCGATCACACTTTTTGGCTCTAACCGATCGGTTCTGCTTGCTACTAAAGCCGCTAGCCGTCGTCGGCTGTAATACTGTCTTGATGTTGTCGCTGCTGGAATGTGGCTTTTGCTTCAGATCCTGGATCCTGTCCTCCGAGTAGCGCTCCTCCTCCAGCTGCATCCTCTGCTCGGAATCCATCTCCACCTCCGTTTCCACGCCGCTGCTCGTATCCGTGGAGAAGGAGGCCACGCGGGCAAGGATGTTAGGCATCCTGCGCTGCATTCGCGCCTGGCGACGGCGACTCATCGAGTTCATCGAACCTTTGGCCACTGCAAGTATAAAACAGTGCAAAAAAGAAACTTAATTAATTTGTAAAACAAAAAAAGGCCAGATAGCTGTACAGTGAATAGAAACTTAGCTAATGCTAAACTTTAATTAGAAAATCATTTGAGTGTGTAATTCGTAGCTCAAAGCTCGTAAACAAGTTTAAGTAATTCCAAACCTCGATTTAGAACATTGTATCGAAATACAATGATTGTAACCCATTTCATAAAATTTAAAATTAAAATCAATTCCAAATTTAGAAAAAAAAAAAACCGAAAAGCAGTTGTGGTGGTCAAGTGCTAAGTTAATCAGTCGATGTCTATAACTTTGTCTGCGCGCCAGTGGGCAAGTGTCTTTGTGTAGGTTTCTGGCATGTAAATGTGTTTATCGCGTGTGGGCAAAAAACGTGACCAGCACCAGGGTTAAGCGTTCCAGCGACAACAACGCTTTTCGCACCAATTAGCAGTCGCAACGCCTTGCAAGGCTCATTGCAAACATCAGCTGTTGGAAATCACGAAAAACGAAACACAACCAAAAATTTAGAGCTATATGTGCCCTACATTCAGAAAACGCACTTAGAGAAAGAAATGTAGGTCAAATGAAAATCATAAAATTATAAATAAAGTAATTTAACGCGCGAAGAATAGCTTAATGTATTCATTAGCTGGCTTTACACAACTAAATCATTCATCTTTAAAGATAAAGCTACACCTCTCTTATGAATAGGTCAAGGACTTATTCTCAGCTTTAAGCTTATTTCTCCACGTGTAGCCATATCTTTATGTAAGCTCATTTTTCCTGCGCACAACGATAGGAATTAGACTGTGTCTATGGTCAGGGTCATGACGCATCCCCCAGAAGTTAACGCTGCACATGGCACTGCAGCCGAGGAATCATTCAAATGGCAACGGAGTCGTTTTCCGGTTGGCAAAATAGAGCTTACGTGATAACGACATCTTGCCCCAGTGCAACGAAACGTGAGAGTTGCTCCGTAAAGGTGGCACTCAACTAATGACGCCGTCGTGAAAGGTGAAAGTAAATGGGGATAATGGGTTAAGACATCCTCAGACACTTCCTGCGCGTGAATTAATTACTTCCAGCCATTTATAATTAATTTGTATTATTTTTATTACCAATAACTCTTAACTCTTATATGTGTATTCAACAAAATTGATTTGAAATTTTGTACTTAACAATAATTTTTTTCTCATTTTTCATTTCCCTCCTACTTAATAATTTTTTTTTCATTTCTTTCTTACTTAACAATAATTTTTTTCATTTGTCTTCAAATTTCTTCAAACATGTATATTACTTTCTTGATGAGCAAATCCTAATCGACGCCGTCTTCAAGTTTTATTCCTGAATTCCGGAACTCATCGGAGAGTCTGACTGTCGCAGCCATGGAAGATAGAAACTCGGCTGGATTATCCAGCGATTTCGTGCGTGGTATTTCGAAAAAAGCCATCTTCCTATCCAGTTCCTTGTGCAGCTCAGCCATTAGAGTCTCAAGATCCTCCACCTCGTCAACGAACTCATCGATATCGCGTTTTACACGAGCTTTGGTAAGATAGGCAGCATTATATTTGAGGAATCGGGTGGAATGAATGAGCTCGGTTTTCATTGCCTCTCTTTTGGACATCTTGGCTTCAACTAGGTAATTGTAGCGTTCCTGGCACACTTTCATTTCCTTGGCAACTTCGCCGGACCAGGCTACATACTTTTCGGCTTTCGAATTTAAATCTATGAGATTGCCCTCCATGCAGCGAATCCTTTTCCGCATTTGGTATATAAACTCGCGGAGCTTATTATACCTGCAGATCACTTCGTCTATTTGCTGTTGAATGCGATTGTGGGCCTGACGAAGACTCCTTGCTTCGAGTAACTCATTGCCGCTCAGCGGTTGGTTTTTCGGGCATACGGCTGCAGATTTCTCTGGGATTTTAATGTCATTTCCCTGATTTTCCCACTGCTTGCACATAACTGAGGACTCGGTCAGGGTTTCCATCTCTTGGGCTGCGGATTCTTCGCTGATCTGTTCGCTACACTTCTTAACTTGACGTTTCCTGATCGCAATTTGCATACGCTCAATCTGTCGGATCAGACAGTCAATATCGTGTGCTATTTTCACTGGTCTATCATCAGACTGCTCTGAACGATCAAGAATTTCCATTTCCTCCTCACCTCCAACAGATGAGAAACTGACCTTCTCGTCCACGTCGAAAATCTCTAAAACACTTTTTCCACATTTCGATGTGCGGGATATGAGATCGATTTCGTTTAATGGCAACTTGGCACATGCAGCAATTTCGCCTACACTTGTAACGTTTTCGAGTTCCATGACCAAGCAAGAATCTTGATTCTGTTTTGTACTTTAATTTTTCTGTGAGTGAATTCAAAAGCCTATTAACCTACTATGCCTGAAAGTTAGTTAAACAAAATCCCTTAGATAAACAAAATTTGGTCTCGTATAATACTTCGATTCTTAGAATGAATTGCCAGAAAGGCAAAAATAAAAATAAAAACCTCTGCTTCAGTGGAATTTCTAATTTTACTGATAGCCAGTAATCTATTCGAAAACTACAACTTTTAGGCTGTAGCAAACAGCTATCGCTACACTTTAAAAGTACTGGAGTTCTCGCCGCGCATTTGCACGTGCCTCGCTTCGTTCTCGGTGAATTAGTCACCGGCGATGCTTGAAAATAAAATTTTAAATACCTTCGGTGAAGGCAGAGGGCGAGGGCATTGGCCAACATTCCAACCCTCTGGCGGCCACGCCCATTTCGAGGGCCGCCTCCCCGGGGAAGGCAGACGAGATGGGGGGTTTCGAATTTGTAGCGTCATGAGGCTTGCACGTGGCCTCGTCACACCCATTTTTATTTAAGGCTTGTGTCGGTGTATTTCTTTCGGTTTATTTTTGTGTTTTTTATGTGTTGCTGCAAATTAGCAGGCAGCAACGAGCAGAAATAAAAAGACAGCAACAACAGCGCTGCTTTCAATGAATTCACTTTGGAAATGGCACCAATAAAGTCAGCAGCAAAGAGCAAGGAAAAAATAGCAAACTTGGCTAAAAGCAGGCGGAGTGAATGTGCAAAACATGTAAATAAAGCCCCGGCAAAAGTGGCACAGCGGCAAAAACAACACTGGAGGTTATGACACACACTTATGTGGAAGCCCCCTATGCCGACGCCCCTGGCTACGTGTACTTGTGAAATATTTCTTGGAAAATATCTAGGTAAGTGTTCGGGCAATTTCACTTGGCTAATGAGTAATCAGTGGGCTTCATTTGACTGGGATGTGCAAAATGTTGTAAGAAAATCTTCTAAGAAAGTAGTAATTGCACATCCAAAAGAGACTAAACTAATTAACTGGGCAATTTCGTGGTCAGGTTAAGATACTGGACACTTGGGCCTTGACAGTGTTGGTGTGTCTAATTAAGTCTCGAATAAATCTTGATTATAATCCATAAATTCACAATCGGCTTGAGCTGAAACTTTCCATTTGAAGATACTTGTTAAGCAGTATGGCCTACTCGGCTGCTACTCGAAATCCATCCCATGCCACTGAGCCCATATCTATTTCGGTGGCAGTCATGCGGCCTTAGATCGCTTATATAAATGTGGCAGCCAGATTTGCGAGCAGAGTCTGTCTTACCCAACGACCAACGACGGCGGAAGAGCAGCTGGAGCCAATTGCTGACGCAAATTGTTGTGGCATAACACCGAACTCGCGTGCCTTCCATGGAACAACATTGGCAGTATCAGCATCAATGAAACACCGGAGACCAACACGTGAAGAACCCGATGCACACCCAATTGCGAACCCATCGCCAAACGCCCATTGCCCATGGCACGTGCATTCTCTAGTCGAGCCACACACATGCATGGTTATATGGCAATGAGGAAGTGGGAAACGAGGACAGAGCACTGAGGACGGGCCGAGTTTACATAAATTAATTAAACATGACCGAGTAACGTGAGCAGCTCGGCAACTGGCAACTGGCAACTTGTAACAGTCCCAACACCAACGACATCAGCAAATCAGCAGGGGATTCTGACTATAAGGGGTGTACCAAAAAAAAAACAATAATAAAGTAGAACAGATAAAAGACAAGGCGGATATTGCAATGAATGTGTAAGGCTGTGTTACGTATACGCCGCGTGCGCCCACCGCAAGCTATTGACACTGAGCCAAATTGGTTTAAGCTTTCACATGTGATTACTTACAAATTAAAGGATTTGAGTGCGCTCAAAGTAGTTGAAATTGAAATGTAATTCAGTTATATGAAACTTATGAAACAAGTCTAATAAGTCTAGCCCAAACTACGAGTATTTCCCTCACCGCCTTTTACTGAGCAATCCCAGTGTTTACTCACCATGGTTGAGCACCGAAGTGGCTTGTGTGGCAGCAGCTGCAGATGTCGATCCCGCGGACAAGGACGTCGACGAGGAGGAGGATGAGGACGAGGATGTGGTTGATGTGGTGGATGCGGTTGTGGATGCTGATGAAATGGCGGCTGTGGCCACGCCATGATGTCGCCGCGTTTCGCGCAGCTGCTTCTTCTCCGAGCATATGGTGGGCGCCATCTTCTTGAGTCCTCTTTTATTTGGCTGCGTGTATTCACACTGAAAGCAAATGTAAGTAAACGCGCAAATTAATTAGCCGTCGCATTGATTAATTGATAAAACGTTATTAGCGCGTAATTAAGCTGCCGATCTGCATGCGCCGTACAGTAAACAAATTAAATGCAGAGAAACGAATTCCCTCGGGTTCGTTTAACTTTGAGCAATCTGAATTGTATCTGTCGCAGTGCAGTGCGATACTGAGAGCATTTTGTGTATATTGAAGCAAAGGCAGGATATGACGTGGTCATTAATTCGTTTATACTTCGCGGTCGATAAGAAGTGGAACCGAAAACATGCTGGCACCATAAAGTTTAAATTTAACAACGCGTGCGTAGGGAATTCCAAGAGATAAGGAGAACGCTCAGTCTTCTTAAGAATCCGTTGATGATTTTTACATTTTTTAAATCAAAAATCCACACTTCTTCTACGCATTTCTATTAAGCACCAACAATTGTTTATTCAATCCTCACTAAATCCAGTTCAACAAATAATCGTTTTCGGCCAGATCAGATTTACTAATACATTAAAACTACATAAATCACCCAAGTCAAACAGAGGTTCAAGGCTCAGAACCCAAGTCCACGTCGTTCCCATCTCCAAATTAACATTTTGAAGCAGTCTGGATATAGAAGCTGACTTTAAGACGAAGCACCCGCTTCAGCCCAGCTGAAGCTCATTAGGTGGGCTCAAAATCCTGGCTAAAGACCAGCCATCGGCAAAGGTAAACAAACTCACTTGAAGTGGGTTTGCGGGGGTGGCCGGGCCGGAATATTGATGGGCTGGCATTCCGGCGGGCACGCAAATTTGCTCAAGTGCCGGGAGATGAGTGGAGATGCGTGGAGATGAGCCCCGCCTGTCGGCAGTCAAATTCAAATTGAAAAACGCCCCAAAAACGAGCGGCTGTTGGCGGCACGTGTATCTCTTGAGTGTAATTACATTTGGTAAAAGCGCTCGCGACGATGATGAAATGTTTGTGGCCCATGATGGCATTTTACCAACCTGTCTCCAAGCCCATTTGCCCCTGTCCGCGATGCAAAATACTTGTGGGCGGCTAAGACGATTTCCAGATCACCCACCCACCTCTTACGAAACCGACTGTCGCTTTCAGGTCGATGTCAATGCGCCAATATGCGCTGAAATTGCTTTTCATTATTTATGCCTTATGCGTCATTCGATAGTTAAAGTGCTCAGTGCACTAGGAGAAAAATCTTAAGAACCAGAATAAGATTTTATTTTCGAATTGAAATCAGTTGAGTGCGCGCCTAGAAGTATGCTATTTCAGAATATTTAGATACCTCTTTCCTTTTCTATATATCAAATGTATTATTTACTTATTACATGTTATATTGAACAAGGCTGAACCACTTGGCTATCATTTTTTGAGTCGAACGCATACTAATTATTAGCTAATATTCAAGACTCAATTAAAGATTGTCATTTAGATCCGAGATACCCTCGGTAAATTTATTTTCTCGGTGCCCATTTGTCCCTTAAGCGGAGCCCGGAAAATGTCTGTAACAAAGGACCGAAATGTGCGTAACAAATACTAAGCCTCAACGAATTGCCCCAGTGGCAAATTTAATGCGGCGCGTGCGGGCCTGAAGCGAAAACTAGGAAGGCAAAATGGTGAGGAGGAGCCAGAGAAAAAAGACATCTTCCTGTGGGAAGCGCCAGGAGGCAGGAAAATGTACAGGGCTTAAAGCTTAGACAAGATTTAAGGCTTAAAGGCAGATTGAGCATAAATTTCAGACACGTTTCTCCAGAAACACCTGTAGCTCTGCCACCTGCAAGCTGGAGGTCAAGTCAATCAAGCAACTTTGATGAGACTCACGGCTGCGTGCCTACAAATTAGCCAATAATTGTTCAACATGACACGCCACAAAAAAATGCGACAGGAAAACCAAAAACAAAAAATAAATACCAAAACACACGCACAGTTTGTCAGCTGCCAAAGCACGAGAAGTAAAGACAAAACAATGGAATCTGCGTATGGCAATGACTTTCCACACGCCACCAGAACGGAAGGGAAATTTGATTTTCTCTGTTCAGTGGAGTATCTTTTTGTTCCTTTATGTTTTGGAAATTGTCGTGGCTTTGTTGTGACCGCCGGCTACATCTCAGACACATGAGGCAGCCAAATATTGTCAACGTGTAGCAGACATAAAATTAGAGTTCAAGGCACTCGTTTTTTTTCATATATGTATTTCACAGGAACGTGTGCGCCCGTCTGCCAAGGCGTTGCCATTTTGAAATTTATTTGTCATGCGTAACGCTCAACGCTGCGGGCTCTACAATGCCCTCATTGTTCGTTTACATAGGACGCAGCACTCCCTCAGACATCAGCACCATGCACACATGGGTACACAGACAAAAATATTTCAGCTTGGCAATGAAAATAGAAAATCTATCGCTCCAAGTAGCAAAACAAACCAATTTGCTGTTAGTAATGGCTTATAAGCTCAAAGCGTTAAATACAAGTTCTAAAGCTAATGAAACTCATTTTTTCCTGTACATGAATACTTATAAGCCCCTATACATATGTGGTTGGCTTTTGTGTGCTGGCTAAGCGGTTTAAGTTGCACTGGGGTCTCGTTTTGCTAAATGTTCAGTTCCTTCATCTTCCAATGGCTGCATTAGCCGTTAGTCTTCAAATATTGATAACCCAAATGATCCGGCTTTTATTTACGAGGAAGGTGCTCAAGGCAGCTTAGATTAAAAACGCACGCTGTTGCAGATAATATTTGTAATGTGGCACTCGGGGCGTATACTTAATATTATGCAGTGCTGGTATCTGGCATTTCATTTCGCTTTCTTTTCTAATTGCAAGCCCGCACGTGTATTTCTGTTGTTCTAATCTCTAATGGGGAA